CCCCGCCGCGAGTCCGCCGGCGCACGCTCCGGGACCCGCGGGGAGCCAGGTCGGAAGCCCAGGTTTGGGCCGCGCCGGGCGGCTGTGGGCGGCCTCCCCTCCCGGGCCGGTAGAGGAGAGCGCAGCCCCAGAAGTTTCGGCAACACTTTCCTTTTTTATCCCCTTCAGAAGCGAATGCCGGGACGGGAGTCCTGGTGGGCCGGGGAGATGGTGGGCGAGTCGAGGACAGCGATGGCTGTGCGGGCCACCCCACGGGGCTCTCGGGGAGCTCAGGACGCGACCTGAGCTGACACGGCACTCGCGAAAGTTGACGAGCCCTGGGGAGCTGAGCGCTGGTGGTGTGATTACTGCGCGGCGCGCGCCTCCACCCATGCCCGGCCCAAGCGCCGTGGGTCCCTCTTCAAATTCTTTCTGAACCACTGAGCAGGTATTTTTTGAGCACCTGCGGTGGAACCACACACCTGCTGTGCACTGGGGATTCAGTGCGAGCATTTGATCACCACAGCAGTAAAGGGGGACAATTACAGCGTTCTCAGGTGCCATCTCCTAAGAAAGGCCTCTCTGGCTACTGAATCTCCGGTAGGAACTCTCCTCCATCATTTTTCATTCTCCTACCCTGCTTTCTTTCTCTTTGTAAAGTCTAAATTCTGTCACATTCTGTTATCTGTGAATTTGTTTGTTCTCAATCCTTGCCTATTTTCAAGCCTCTGTTGAGGAATCAAAGAGCAGAGACTTTTTTGGTTGTTGTTGACACTTGCTAAATCCCGTTACTTAGAAGCGTGCCTGGTACGTTGAAGGAACACAAAAAAGTGTTTGAGGAATGAGTAGGTGGAAGAAAGCACAGCCAGTTCTTAGTATCTGTCCTGCACTGGGTGCCCAGTGATGACACCCCGAGGTGGTTCCGAGAGCTTTTGTAAATTTTGAAGAAACCAGCGCCTACCATGGTTAATGTTAGGAGGAAGTGTGTCTGAGAATTTCACTTGGTAGAAATTTACTTAGTAGAAATTCACTGAGAAATTTACTTAGACACAAATCCGGTTTTAAAGTGCCTTGCACAAAATGTCAGCAAGATTTTTCAAAAGTGATATTCATCTTTTTCAGTGAAGATAAACTGGTTTATTTTTTTCCTGTTGGAATTAGCACCGATCTATGAGAGCTATCACTTGGAGCCATTTTCTTTTCTGGGGACCCAAAGAAGTTGAGGGTGGGGGAAATGGAGTGAGTTGTTTCTTT